AGCTCATGTACCTCCCAAGACTGTGTAAAAAACAAGGGCTTTTTTGAATCTGTGGAGGTCTATATGCAGCTGCTCTGGCAATAGCACGTCTCATTGTTAACTCCGATGGCATGACCTAACATAATGTGACACGCACTAGAAGAAGTAATGTGACAAAGTGGATCAAGCAGGCAATGCTGCACTTGAAAAATATGACATCTCATCTGAAACCAATCCTGCTTTCAGCAAAGATACCACCTCAAAGGGCACATTGCTTTTGTCCACATCCTTCAAACTTCTGGATAATATGAGGGCCATATAAAGGCCACATCTGTAAGCAGTAAGCAGTATCCAGGTAGTGACAAAAGGCAATCCTGGAGAGCTGATGTGCTCCAGAACTCAGTCAGAGGAGGTGTAATTCGGCAGTGAGCATGAAGATGAGCTACCTCCGCCACCACTAGGTTTCCAAGACTGGCATCTACAAGAAAGCGGTCAGGTTGTTCCTGAAGCGGATCAGGTGGAGTGGATGCTGTTGAGAAAGCATTAATCTGTACCATTGAGACTCCATTACAAAGAGTTTCACAACTTGGTCCAAGTTCATTTCCTCCTTTAATTAATAGAGTCCATGTATTTATTACATGTATCAGCCTGGAGGCAGTCAGAAATATAGAAACCACTCTAAGAATTTCAAACAGAAGAAAATTTAGTACAGAAACATAGTTTAAAATTGTTGGAAAGGGTTACAGGAACTATAGGGAATGGTGGTACTGCCCAGAGATCAGAAAGTAGAGGAGTCAACTACCCCCCTCCTCCCAGGGCTAGAGAAGGAAAAGTGAGGAAGTGGAACCAATTCCTCACCCCAACCCACAAATACTATTGGAACCCAGTTTTTTTCATCCTTTATCTGCTATTTCTGTTGCTAGAACCCAAACCCAGGATCCATCAGACAATGAGTCCAACAAATGTAGTTTCCAGTCTTCCAACCCCTGAAATACAGAGCTGAGGACAGGTAAAGGGTATAGGGTGGAATAGGGATGGAGCTTAGTACAAGAAGACAATGTTTAACATATTATGCTGTAGTTATTTTGATGAAAGTAAAACAAAGCAAGGATATTACTTACAAACTGGAGGTAAATCTCGGGTAAAAATGTGTTTATTGTTAGCTACCTTCATCTATCTGGAATTGGACAATAATACGTGACATGTATTATTACTAGTGGGATGCAGAGAATGCAACATTATCTAAAGATATGACCTATTTAGCTACAGGGCATATCATATTATTTAACTTTAATCCTATTTGCCAAAGTTTTTGCAAATAATTTTAGCACTATATTTCTTAAAGTTTGGAACGGATGTGCAATAGTGGGTTAGAACTGGCGTTTTGCTATTTACTGTCTCCTCAACTTATAAACAATAAATATTTGATATTTAATTAAAGATTGACCCTAATAACCATGGAAGAGAGATACACGTTTAATACGTTACTATAAATCTTATAGAACACCACATGTCTCTTTCTAGAGCAGCATAAAGTAGCAAAAAGACAAATTATGAAAAATAAAAGAATTTACATTTGAGTCTCAAAAAGAATTTTCTAGAGCAAGCTCTTTTTTCACATGGCACAGAACTGCCTTATTATATTGATCATCATTGGCAAAATGAGGTGCTCCATTTAGCTGGTTTTTTTCACATAAGCAGAGACTGTCTTTTTAATTTATTTTTAATCATTGTAATGTTTTAAGGGTAACATTTATTGTTTTCCTGCATACAAAAAAAATTAATATCTTATGGAGGAGTTGGATCACGACTGCAAACTGACGTCGTTTTTCTACTTCCCTTCCCACTGAAAGTTAACTGAAATGACAGAAATGCTATTAAGAAAGAATAATTTTATATAAACACTAGAAAATAAGAAAGGATTCAAAGCATAAACTTTTAGGAGTTGGGATAAATTTTCAGAGGAATCAGAACATAGAAAGTTGCCTAATACAAATAATAAGAACTCCCCTTTAATACAAGTTTGAGAAAATCCAAGCTTTATGACCACAAATGCAAAACGAGTAGAGGCCCATAGGATAATAAAATTACTGTATTTGGATTAGCTGAGCAGGCTGGATGCTTCCAGCTCTCCTACTTACTCTGTTTCTTTTTTCCTATATACTGTGTGTATGCATGTTTTAATTTTATTGAGAAACCAACATTGACACTGAGATTTCTTCTGCTTCTTAATGTAAATATTTTTAAGCTGGATTATCCTTTATAATCTGAGTACAATTGTATGTTATCAAATATTTTCTTACATACTTATATTTTAATTTAGTCGTTCAATTGAAAGAGATCAATCTGGGTTAATATTTGGCAGTACATGGTTGAGTAGGGGCATGGATTTGACTGGGTCTTTTTAACTTGTCCAACTTCTAGGATCACTGGCTGGAGGGTGAGCGGATAAGAATAACGTTTACCAAATTTCCAGTGTCCTGTAACCTTGATGGAAACTGTTCTTGCTATATGGTTGTTTGTATGCTTCTTTTGGGTTTTTTGCCTGTTTGTTTGTTTTTTAATATACAGAAGGGAACCTAAGGAATGTGTATTTAGTTCCTTGCCAGAATTAACGTGTCTAGATCTAAAACTGCCAAAATGCATCACTCCTACAACTCATTAAAGAGCCACCCCCTTAATTTCAGCCATCAGCCATGATTTTTTCTTGGAATTGTTGTCCCAGAATAAATTTATAAGTTGATGTCTAAGTTAGAGGGTGGAAGTGGGGCGGTATTCAGGAGTGAAATGGCCCTGGATACTTCAGAAATTATTTTTCCCATGTAGTAGGGGTGGAAATATGGAGTTTGATTACTAGCCTACTGGCTTGCAAATTTATCAAATCACATTGAAGGTGAGTGAAAATATGCAAATGTTTTCTGTCTGGACAAACTCTTCTTTCTCAGGACCACATTCATGCCTTGAATGGTTGAATCTCATCCTGGGTCCTGGTAAATTTTTAACCAATGATCTCCTAAATTTCAGGATGGTTGAAATCTGGCATCCCTTGTACATTTTCATACTTATTTTAATCAAATATGTTATTTAGCCACGTTCTTCATTTCAAAGTCCAAGGGAGGATTATCTGCATTCTGAAGAGACAGAATTTTCCCCCCTTAGAGCAGTGTAGCAATTTTAAGAAATTCGTCGATGATCAAACAGCATGTAAAGTGGTGGATTCAGGATTTAATTCAAGTCTGTATGTTACTGAAGGCCATCCTCTTTATTTCTTCTTTTTAAATTTATTTTCATCATAGAATAAATCAACAAGACAGTTGATGTAAACTGGGGCTTACAAGGTAGAAAGAGTTTTAACACCCAGAATGACAGAATTAGGCATACCAAAGGATGAGAAAAGTTGGAGAACAATTCAGAAGCAAGAAATTACATAACATTCAGGAAGGCGTCTACTTTCCCTGGAGTATAGAACATATGTAGAACATTAGTGGCAAATAAGGCAATGATAGTGAAGGTACTGCACCTCAAACTATTATACCCCAAACTGAAGAAATTACACCTGCTTCTGTAAGAGTTCATCATCATTAAAGATGACTTATTTTTGTAACCTAGCAAAGCATGCTGTATAGCTTGGAGTAGAAGAGGGTGTAAAAGTGATAAAGGCAAGTTCAGGCATTTTGTGATTGGAGGTGATCTGTATGTGGAATAAAATTAAGCTTGATTCAAGGGAATTTTGAAGAATTAGTTAAATACAACCTGGAGATTTATATATGAGTGGCTAAAATAATATTCACATTATTAATATGATCACATTAACCTAAGTAAGAAGTAGGTAGATTCTTATTTTCAGAGTAAAGTGATAAGTTTAATTTTAGATATGCTTAGAATGAGAAGATTATAGATTACCCAGGAGATGGTGTCCAATAGACAATGTAGGTTTAGATCCCTTAGACAGCTGAAGGTTGAATTTTAGAGTATTCTAGAGGTGATAAATTGTATCTAGTACATAGTAATTGTTCAAATTAATTAAACTGAATTAACTTGCACTGAACTGAATTGAACAGGGTTATCAAGTACAACAGAGAAAAAGCAGTCAAACAATTAGAAGGAAACTAAGGTAGTGAAGCTGTAGTGTTACAGAAGTACAGGAGGAGCAGGAAGGTATCCCATAGGCTAGGCAGGGCAAGGGCTGGAAAGAAGATGCTGGAAATGGAAACACAGAGTGGTCAGTATGGTAGCCAGAGTACAAGGAACTCTGGAATATGTGAGCAATTTTGCATTTTAAGAAAGTCACATTTATTGAATGTCTCTTATAGTAAGTACAGCAAATATAATAGTGAGAAGCTATTCCATGGATGTAGGTATTGCAGTTCACAAGGCAGGCAACTCTGCCAGGTGCTAAGGTAGTACTGAAGTGAACCTTAGATACTACCTGTCCTTGAGGGGCTTGCATTTTTCTGAGGAAGATCAAACAAGTGGAAGAGCAGAAGTGTCAAAGAAAACAACAATTTTGCCTTTTCTGCAAAGTCATTCACATTTTAGTGACATTTGGTGCTTCTTCATTAATTTCTAAGGAATTAATGAGAGCATAAAAAACACCCTTCCTTTGCTAGGCTGTAAGCTCCACAAGGTCAGAGACCATGTTGGCTTTGTTCATGATACTTCCTCAGCACCTAGAACAGAACTTGGCACAAGAGCTCCTCAAGAAAACACTGTTGTTTAATTAATTTATTTTATTTTATTATTTATTTTTGGCTGTGTTGGGTCTCGTTGCTGCCCATGGGCTTTTCTCTAGTTGTGGTGAGCGAGGGCTACTCTTTGTTGTGGTGTGCAGGCTTCTCATTGCAGTGGCTTCTCTTGTTGCGGAGCACGGGCTCTAGGTGCGCGGGCTTCGGTGGTTGCAGCACGCAGGCTCAGTAGTTGTGGCTCATGGGCTCTAGAACACAGGCTCAGTAGTTGTGGTGCACGGGCTTAGTTGCTCTGCAGTATGTGGGAATCTTCCCAGACCAGGGTTTGAAGCCGCAACCCCTGCATCGGCAGGCGGACTCCTAACCACTGCGCCAACAGGGAAGTCCCAAGAAAACATTTTTGAAAAAAAATAAAGAATTAACGGATGGAAGGGCGAGTAGGTGAATGGCTGGATGAATAGATGAGTGCATCCCTGACCAATCTTCATATGTAAATATACTGCTTTACATCGCCACCTTTCTTTTCTCAGTTGTATTTACTCGTTTACGCGTTTTTCTACTATTATTTCAGCCCTTACTTGAACCACAACAAAACAGGTGATGAAGTACTCAGCAGCATTTCTGCTTGAAATCGGCCACATTGTATCTCTCAGCCTTATGTCCTTGATTTGTTCCTTCAACATCATAGCAGCGACAGAGGTGCCTTAAAAATACAATAAAAGATACTGTCAGATATTTTTGAAAGATAGAAAAATGCAATTTTCTTTACTTTCTCAAAATGATATAGCTTTTGATAATATTAGACTTCTGACCAACTTCCAAATTCAGAACTAAAGAGTTGCCTTTCAAGTACTTCCTACATGAACATAATGTGATTTGATATTGTCACCTGGTTCGAATAAACGGGAAGTTATTTGCCGTTAGTCTGAGAGGTTCTGAAGGACTCTTTTTGGAGAGTTGATCAGATTTTGCTACACTCTGAAGTCCTTGGGATCCCTGCAACCACCCAAGTACACCAACTTATTTGAGGGGGAGGTGAGAAAACTTGTTCTGATTAAACTGAGACTATTCTTGACTTTCTAAACCTCCAGAGGACTTAGGAACGAATGCACACTGCACACGTTTCTTTCTGAAATGCTCTCCACCTTAGTTTTGACATGAGAGTGAAAGCGCAGTTCTGAAATATATGAAGACATCTGTGGGTTCTGTAGACACAGGAAATGTGTGACATAAATCTCAGGAAGACATCTTATAAGTTTCCTGGTCAATTCCTGCTATTGTGTGAGGCTGGCCTCTTCATCTCTATTAAGATCAGTCTGGAAGCATTTGGAGATGACTTCATGAGAAATTAATACTCCTGCAGATTGGACCACAGAGGTCAAAGGTATTGGTGTGCCTTAAAATTATATTGTAAATTGCATGGCTAGATTTGTATATAGAGTATTTGTTTGGGGCGCTGATGGGCTTCAGGAGAGAAAGGACACTGAGCTCACACTTGGGGAGTTTTTAGCGAAGTCTAGGGAAGTATATATGTTAAGGGCCAGAAAATTTGATATAGGATTGACATGTCAGAATTTTTTTTTCTGATAACTTCCATGGGCTGGAGAGGGGAGAGAAAGATTTATGCAGGATGCTGGTGAAAGGAAGCAAGAAGGCCTGGTATCTTTTAGATGAATAGAGGAAGGGCCGTGGTACTCTAGTGGTAGAATACTCTGCATTGGAGCAAAGATCCAAGATGGATGAGAAGGCACTAGAGGAGCCACGTCTAATCTAGCAAGAGCACCCAGGAGAAGTGCCACAAAGGAGGCAGGGGCCTCTGGATGTGTCCATACGCAAGGAATTTTCTGCTTACTTTTTACAATAAGGCAGGTTTTCTGCTAAGTGGAAATGCTTAGACTTGATCTCTACACATTTAAAAGCCATTCTGTGTCCTTGATATGGAAAAGCATTATGATAAAAGTAATGTTTTAAATTAAATCTGCAATACTTATTGATAACAGCTAGCTTTTTTTTTTAGCACTTAGTTTATGCTAGGCACTGTTCCTTTATGTTTATGAACTAATTTAAACCTCAGAACAATTTGATGAGATTGCTACTATTACCTCTGTTTTTCAGATGCGTAAACTGAGAATTAGAGAAGTTAAATAACTTCCCCCAACAACACACACGTAATAGAAGGCAGAGTAGGGAAACCAAATCTGGACATTTGGACTCCAGAGTCTGCTGAATTGCTATGCTATGATTTCTGTTTTCTTAATAGCTTGTTTGTCATATATCTTTAAAATACAGTAAAGTTTTTACAACAAAATAACTTTTAATAGTTTCATATTATTGTTTGGTAGGAATATATCAAAAGACATTTACTCAGTTCTCTTTTTGGTAAACAGTTTGTTTTCCATTTTTGAAAAATGCTATGATAAACAAAGCTGTGTGAATTTTTATCTTTGCAGACACACCCCCAGGAAAAATTAGTGCTTAGCAGTGAAATGACTGGATCAAAGGGTATGCATTTTTAAGGATTTTGACATACGTTATTGTAAATCACTCTCCAGAAAGATTTTTCCCAGTTTGCATTGCACCATCAGAGACTGAGACAATCAATATCCCTACACTCTCACCAGAAGTTATTATTATCTTTTCTTTATCTTTGACAGTTTGATAATCTCAATATAACTCAACATGGTTTTAATTTGAATTTTTGATTGCTAATCAAAAAAGTTGACTATTTTCATACATTTAACACTGATTTACATTTCTTTTGTGAATTAAATGATCCCATTGTTGCTTAATTTATATGCAGTAATGTTTTGTAGAGTACAATTATCACTCCTTTTATTATATTATTGAAAATATTTTCCCTAGAGATCTAATTTTATACTTTTTAGATGTAAGTGAGCTTTAAAATTTACACAGTCAAATATATCGATAGTTTTTTTTTTAAATCAGCATTTAGTTTGATCCTTAGAAAAGCTTTCCCTACCTTCAATATTACATAATTTTTCCTGTTATTTTGTATTGGTCTTTATGGCTTTAATTAAAAAAAAATTATCTGTGATTTTTTTCAATGAATGATCTGAAGTAGGTAGATTGTTTTTTGTTTTTCCTCAGATAATTAGCCACTTGTCTTAAGTTTATCAAGTTACTTTTCAGCCAGTAGTGTCATTATAATCATAATTTTATTCATACAATTAACATGTATTATACTATTAACATATAATATTAATAGATTGAGTAATGTCATAGAACTTCATTAATTTATGTGCTAATATGAATCAGCTCTTTTCCTTGAGATCTTCATCTTACTTATACTTTTTTTTGTTTTATTAGAAAATAACCTGTTTTTAATTATACAAATGATACACTTATTGCAGAAACAAATCAAACACACAGTAGGAAAAAAAACAGGTAATAATTGCTATTAGGTGTTTAGGTTAGATCCTTTCATCTCTGTTGGTGGCTGTTTTTGACATGCATTTTTCAAGATATTATACATCTTGATTTGTAATCTATTTTTAAATTCAATAACAGCAGAAAATTTTCTCTATTTAAATATACATCTATAACATCAAGTGTAATGACTACATAGTTTGGCACCAAAAAAAATATTGTGCTGAAGTTTATGCAATGAATCACAGATTGTCTTATATTCAGTTACTTTTCAGTGTTGCTGACAAACAATAATATAACAATCATATATCAAAATCTTTGTGGAAAGATATGTTTGATTGTAAGAAGCTAAAACATAGGTTTTCTGGGGAGTTCTAACATTCTTCCCCTTCATTCTGTATAACATACCGCAACCAAAATCCTCTTTCTGAAGCACTGTTTTAAATTAAGGAATAATTTAATATGCAGTGAGGTGCCTACACCTTAAGTGTACTGCTTTTGAGATTCTACTTACATACCAGCCCATGCAATCACCACACAGGAGGCTCCATCGTGCCTGTGCCACTCAGGCTCTATCTACTCACAGGTTTGTCTCAGCTTCCCTGCCCATGCCCACCCTCCATTTTTCTTAGAGGCCTGGAGTTTCGGGGCTGCACCTGCAGCCCTTCTGCTCCACCCTCAGTCTGGAAACCCAGAAGGTTCATAACAGGCTTCTCTTAGCTGCCCCTCACTCCCATCACTCTAGGGAAGGAGGATCTTTCAGCACTACTCTTCTACCTTTGGCATACTCCTCAATTGCTCCGTGAAGGCATGTAGAAATTTGCTGGCAATGTGACAGACACCTGCTCAGTGGTTTGCCTTTTTGGGATTCTACACTGTCAACCCTTGTCAGCTCTTAGATAGTTAGTTCAAAGCCTCATGGATGTTCTGCTGGTTTACCCCTTCTTAGCAGATTCCTCCTCCTTCCGTAATGGCAAGCATGAGAGAAATGGTCTCAACTTGCTTATATGAAGAAATTCACTTTCTGTTGTTTAGTCCATTTCAGTTTCTTTGAGTCCTTAGCCCTTGAGGGTTTTTCAAAAACTATGATATTATAGCTTCTCAAGCTTGTTTTGATGTTTGGAGTGAGCTCTATAGTTTCTTGCAATTTTCTACATTAGAACGAAGTGCAGGACTCCTAGTGTTTTCAGTCTTGGGATATATGTTTCTGTAGCTATGGTTATAGCTTCTTTCTCATTTATAGTGCCAGGAACAGTATATTCTCCCTCTCATTTCACAGATGATGCTTGCTAGAATTTGTTCTGTTGTATGGGTGTTTTAAAAATTTTAGTTATTGACTAAATCAATTCTACTATGACTTCTTTTTCTAATTGTACTAATCATGTTTCTATTTTTCTTAAACTCATTTCTTCTAGTGTTATAAGATCTACTGTGTTGCTCTTTTATAACCTTACTTAAGCTTAGATATTTTATAAGCTTTAAAAATAAAAGTATGTAAATCTATAAAATTTCTCCTAGTTACACCTTTGTTTTTATCTCATACGTTTTTGTAGAAGTTTTTCACAGTGCTTATTGATAAGCAGATTTTTATCGGGGTTTTTTTTTTTTTTTGATGAAACCATTATTTAGCAGAGCTTTTTTTTTTTCCCCCCCTAGTGATCTGTTACTGGGCTGTCTGATAGTAAATAATTACTATTAGTATTTCATTATGTGTAAGGTACTGTTTGAAGTTTATTTAAGTATTCTTTATTGAGTAGAATATGATCAGTGTTATTTATAAATATTTCAAAGGCAATTTTGTTTATAAGACATAGAGTTGAACATTTACCAATTAAATCAAGTCCAGTCATTGGTTCCAATTCTCTATATCTTTATTTTTACTTACCACATTTCTCAACAAAAGGAAATTATTATAAATATTAACCTGTTGACTAGGTGACTTAGAGACCAGAAAAAAATGGAGGAAGAGCTAACATTTAGACCTCTGTCTTAAAATAGGATAGATTAAAGTCCTATATAAGAGTGGTAGCAGTGAAACAGTGACTCAAGCAATCAATAAATCATCGAACTAAAAAGATAAAATATTAATTTTATATTGATATAATGTTTTACCCTACCAAAGTTCTTTTGTATGCATTTTATCCTGTATTTAGAACAACTAAACTTTTGGGTAATACAGTCCCTAATTCAAAGATGCAGAAGCCTATAGAAACTAAGCAGTTTCCCTAACATCCCACAACTTTTAAGTAGCAGAGCTAAAGCTTGAACTACACTGTAATGAATATTATTATTATTATTTTGCGGTACGCGGGCCTC